AGCCCAGTAAATCCGAATTTGACCCTTTAAACACGGAGCCATTTCGACATAAGGGTGAAATTCGTCTGACCGTGCAGGCAATATTGGACCAAACGTCGAGCGCCTTTAGGCGCTCTTACAAGGAAGGTATCCCAGGTCGATCTCTCCGATGTCATTTCTGTTATAACATGTTATAGTAGACTAAAAACTAAGCGACAATTATTTTTTTTTTATCTGCCATTAAACACTTTAAGGGGGTGAAACCACCATCCAAAGTAAGGCATGTCAAAGGGCTATTTGGCAATTTCACCCACAAGAACGTAATATTTTTTAACCAATCCACCTGGAAAAGCTTTCTCATAACGAGAAATGAGAAATATAATTTTCTCAATTAAGAAAAAATGAAATTAAGGGGTGAGCCTTACCTTGGATGGTGGTTTCACCCCCTTAAAGTGTTTAATGGCAGATAAAAAAAAATACGCGTCGCTTAGTTTTTAATCTACTATAACATATTATAAAAGAAATCAAATCGGAGAGATCGACCTGGGATACTTACCTTGTTAGTAGCCGAAGGGTTAACCCTTAACGGACGTACGTCATCTCTGATGTGACAACAGTACTTTGTCGCTGGGGTCGAATGGCACGTGTGAGGTGACAAGATGGATTACAACCTAGGGAAAATCATATATACATAACAAAAAGTCAAAATATTCATATCTCACTTTCATATCACCTTAAGGACTTTACCTCGAATGTAGATGCAATCGGCCTTGAATTATCAACCCCAAAGGTTGCATTTCACCGGGATCTTATACATCTTAACTATTACACTATTTACAGAAAAGTTTTATAAATATTTTCGCTTTTTGTTATGTATATATCTCACTTTCATATCACCTTAAGGACTTTAATTCTAATGTAGATGCTATCGGCCCTAAATTATCCACCCTAAAGGTTGCGTTTCACCGGGATCTTATACATCTTAACTATTACACTATTTAGAACAGTCTTATGAATATTTTGACTTTTTGTTATGTATATATCTCACTTTCATATCACCTTAAGGACTTTAATTCTAATGTAGATGCTATCGGCCCTAAATTATCCACCCTAAAGGTTGCGTTTCACCGGGATCTTATACATCTTAACTATTACACTATTTAGAGAAAAGTCTTTTTGTTATGTATATATCTCACTTTCATATCACCTTAAGGACTTTAATTCTAATGTAGATGCTATCGGCCCTAAATTATCCACCCTAAAGGTTGCATTTCAGCTAAATCTTATACATCTTATCTATTACACAGTTTCTAATCAGCGATACATTCCATTTAATCAGGTCCTATGTGGCGTCCAGCCTGCGTGGGTGCCGACAAGTGGAAGCAACATTCCGCCTAACGCAATTCCAGGAGGCCAGACCGAAGAGAGCGAGCCTCTCTTCATCGGCCGTGTCAACCATGAAGGCACCATAACTATCGGTAAGGTCCAACCATCCCATGGTGTGTTGTACATCCCGTTCGGGGGAGCCGAGGTCGCCTTCCCGGATTACGAGATCCTCGTCCAGGAGTAAAGCGTCCAAGAAGAATCGAAGGATCGTCATTGAATTGTTCGATGAATTCTTGGAAGCAACGTGTATCCTCATCCCCGGCGAGGTTCCTTCCTGCGCCCGACCAGCGAAAGATTCCTCGTAATGCATCACCATTGACGTCTTCGGGATCTCTGCAACCGTAGTATGTGCATTTAGGTGATGGGAATGTGGCGTCTAAGCGTTCTCCTCCATGAAGCTTTCCTCCAAAGGGGATGTGCCGAATCGATTAAAACTGCAATATAAATACGGGGATGAGGAAGGACCTCAAACTCATGAAACTTCAACGTTTTTCTCTTTTTTGTCATTTCGGTTCGTAGAATCGATTAAAACTGCAATATAAATACGCAGGGTATAAGGGAAGGACCTCAACTCATGAAACTTCGATGCTTGTTTCTTTTTTGTCATTTTTGCTCGTAGGTATTATTAAAATTTGTTTATATGAAATGAAATTTCATGGGCGTCAGGACCTTCCTTATAGTTCCCACGTTCATGTTGTAAAGTTTGGAATTGTTTGGTACACCCAGTTCGTATAATTGATTCAAACTACAATATAAATACGTAGGGTATAAGGAAGGACCTCAACTCATGAAACTTCGATGTCTTTTTCTTTTTTGTAATTTTTGTCCGTAGACATTATTAAACTTTGTTTAAGAAAAATGAATTTTCATGGGCGTCAGGACCTTCCTTATAGTTCCCACGTTCATGTTGTAAAGTTTGAAATTGTTTGGTACATCCAGTTCGTAGAATCGATTAAAACTGCAATATAAATACGCAGGGTATAAGGGAAGGACCTCAACTCATGAAACTTCGATGCTTGTTTCTTTTTTGTAATTTTTGTTCATAGATATTATTAAAATTTGTTTATAAAAAATGAAATTTCATGGGCGTCAGGATCTTTCTTGTAGTCTCCACGTTCAAGTTGTAAAGTTTGAAATTGTTTGATACACCCTGTTCGTAAAATCGATTCAAACTACAATATAAATACGCAGGGTATAAGGAAGGACCTTAACTCGTGAAACTTCAATGCTTTTTTCTTTTTTGTAATTTTTGTCCGTAGATATTATTAAACTTTGTTTAAGAAAAATGAAATTTCATGGGCGTCAGGACCTTCCTTATAGTTCCCACGTTCATGTTGTAAAGTTTGAAATTGTTTGGTGCAATGGCGGACATAAATGCCTTCCCTGCGGATACGGCATCGCCTGTGCAGGATGGGAGGGCATTGATGTCTCCCAGTGTACACCCAGTTCGTATAATTGATTCAAACTACAATATAAATACGCAGGGTATAAGGAAGGACCTTAACTCATGAAACTTCGATGCTTGTTTCTTTTTTGTAATTTTGTTCATAGATATTATTAAAATTTGTTTATAAAAAATGAAATTTCATGGGCGTCAGGACCTTTCTTGTAGTCTCCACGTTCAAGTTGTAAAGTTTGAAATTATTTGGTACGCCCAGTTCATATAATTGATTCAAACTACAATATAAATACGCAGGGTATAAGGAAGGACCTCAACTCATGAAACTTCAATGTTTTTCTCTTTTTTGTAATTTTGTTCGTAGATATTATTAAAATNTTCGTAGATATTATTAAAATTTGTTTATAAAAAATGAAATTTCATGGGCGTCCGGACCTTCCTTATAGTCTCCACGTTCACGTTGTAAAGTTTGAAATTATTTGGGTACACCCAGTTGGTAGAAGTTTCATGAACGATTGAGCTTTCGGGTGCCAGTTTCGTATCGCCTTAATCGTGAAATCTCTAGTGCCTTTGCTGTGACCAAATTACAAGGCGTGTATTTGTTTGAACCGGTTGTATGAAACCGCGCTTCCAGTGTTCATCGTACAATAGGTGGGAAAAAGTGTGTACGGGCGTTAGCTTTTGCACGGTGTAAGAAACTCGCTGTGCGAAGTCTCATTTTATGCAGCACTTGTTACTCCGCTAGTTCCGATAAGTCGCCCAGAGGGCGCGCAACGCGAAGCAAACTATTTAATTATTTACCGCAGCCTAAAGGTACAATTACATATATATATATATACATATATATTTTCTCATTGGTAATTGCGTAGTTTTTATCGCTCAACACGTCGCTTTGTTACACGTGATGTAAAACATTGTATCCATTGTCAAGTGGAGGCAAATATACGATTGGATAGAGCATATTCGTTCCCTGGTCCAGTAATATCTTGGCAAGTATTTATTTCTCAATTATCATGAAATGTCGATACTGGGCATTGTTTAACCATGACAAAAAATGATAATGGCAAAAGTAGAATGCACCTTTAGTCCGGATTTGGTTTGCCACATTGTGGTAAGTTCTCCTATTTAGATTGCAACGTAGCTCTTACTCTAAGTCTAATTTCAATTCCTGGATTGCTAGTTAAAGCTATCGATAATAATCAAGGCAAATATTTTGTATATCATGTATACATCGTTCTTCAATTCTTGGGGTTTTGTACAATTTAAACTATTTTAATTTGTCATCAGGGGCGCCGCGTTAATAATTCACTAGGCGATAGAACTTTTCGCGTTCTAGAAACGGGCCATGATTATGCTCTTTTCTGTACAATTACAATGAATAAAAGAGTTACAAAGAATAAAACCCCTTAACGTGGCATGTCACTTAACTGAAGTATAAGGGATTTGTCACAATACATGATCCGTTCTCCTGTTGTAGGTATTGTATTTTACGCTAGTCTATAATTTACAATAAACGAGCCCTTGCGTTAATGTTACAAACATCTGCAATGTCGAAAGTTGAAATTAATGTTAGATGACCCTTTTTATTCTCTCTTTAGTAATCAAACATTATCTTCATATCTTCGTCATAAAGTAAAGCTATACAGTATTTCCTTCGAACTGAAGTTAATTTATTTGCTAACGTACACCTAGTGAGTTTGAAAAGATATAATTTAGTGCAGTCAAGACCAATCGGTGTGTACTACGAAGAAAAGTAACGGACTGACCACTGATCGATCTCAGATATTGTTCGTACAGAGATGCGATACTATTCTTTTATACATGATCTTTATTCAATTTCCAGTATTTCCTAGCCCGCCGAATTAATAAAGCTATTACAAGCCTTCTGCAGAATTAACTATGATTTTTCCATCGGTTCTTTGATATATTACAATTTACTTATTCTCGAAGTTAGGTATATAATAAAACGCAATTACAGTGACCGTTAACATTGGTAAGGCTACGATTTGAATTCACTTTTTAATAAATTACTGGGATTAATGTGATGAATTTTCCAACGCATTAAACAGGATTTCTGTTATTGAGTTAATGCAAAAGTTCGTCCCATTTGTTTCCTTGCGCTAAATGATAATGCATCGAAGGGGATGAACTTTTGCTTCGACCCATTAAATTAGACAATATGGAAAACACAGTACTAGTGATATGGTGTTACGTATTTTAATTTTCTTCCTGTTATCCAAATTTGTTTAACGCAAAGAACTTAATCTCCCTGAATAGAAATATTACCGTCTATTATTAATTAACTCTGTTCGAGTAAGTACAGTTCACAGCGCAATCTCTGCATCAACGATCAAAGGTACTGTTCTAATAATTGCATATATACCAATTTTGTCTCCGATTGCCAAACAATATTGTTCTTCTTTAAACTATATTGTAGTCACAAGGCATTAAAAAATTTCACTTTTCTCAATTACAGAATCTGACAGAATAAACTGCGGTAACATAATGGGGAACGAACAGTATTACGATTAAAAGTTCTTCACAATTTGTAATTCCTATTATGCAGTTTTTCTTAAAAATCCCTGTTCAAAAGTCATAGATAAATCGCTAACAATTAATCTTGTACAAACTTATCAAAAGAAAACAAAACTACGGTCTCCTCGTTGAAATTTCTCTTTCTTCTCGACTTTGAACTTTGCCATTTATTTCAGCAAATGTTAAACTCGAGAAGTTGTAGCCACTTGCAACATATATTTTTCTGCCGAGCCGGTGTAATAAATAATTAATATCACCATTAGAAGATACAACATAGCAGAGTACATACGATGCAATGTGTTCTTCGCTTGACACCCAACGTATACATTGATTTTTGTTTTCTTCCTGACTTTCGGATGCAGATGTGACTTTAATACAAAAAGTAGCTGAATTACAAGAAATAGGAGCTTTAAACAACTAATATGTACAATAGATTTACACAATATATTACAGTCTTTTTTTCGGCAACGAGCCGAAAGCCGATATTACCGTCGCTTTTGTACCTGTCGCCGACGAGGTTAACGTCGTTAACGTCGGTTGAGACATTAAAACGGAGGACTTCGACGAGGAAGTAGCAGCGGTCGCGACCTGGTCCCACTTGCTTTTCCGCTTTTTCGCGTCTTCCTCCGATGAAATCGCAGAACTGCTCGGTCGTTTCGCCGTGCCGGAAACAATCTCGATTTTCGTCTTCTCCTTCCTGGCCTTCTCCAATTTATCCATCTCGGTCATCTGTACTAAAGCCAGCTCCTCGTAGTACGAATCCTTGCTCCATTTGAAAGGATCGAATCGGTCCGGTGGATAGTTAGTGCCCAGTTCATTGATGCTACAAAACTGAATCAACTTTTCATAAATGGATGGATTTCTAAAGTCCTTTCTTTGCTGAATGACCTTATTCATATCTAAACCGCCACTGTCCATCTTCCTATGTAACTTAGCAATCTTTTCCTGTAACTCCTGAGGACATTGTCCCGAGGGTTCAGGTGGTATCGACACGCCATACAAGTCCGCCTCCCCATCTGAAAACAATTCCCCCTTACGAGAGGGAGACTGCTCGGCAGCCAAGGGAGGCTTCCCGTTTTCTGAGGGCCTCCCTCCGGCCAACGCCGCGGCAGTTCCCTCATCGTCGGAGACTATCGTGTCATCAAAATATGAGACCAATCTTTGCACTTTTGCCGTTACATCCGTTACTAAGGTGCGTGCATTCGGCAAGTTGCTACTAGACCTGCCACCGATACCGGGGGCAACGTTGGGACTATTTGAGGCTGATCGGCCAGATTTCGGGCTGTTGAGAGCCTGAGGCTGACCACCTTGGGCATTTTGCGAGACAGCCCCCTGGGGAGTGCTCGAATTCTCCTGAAGGTCGTCTTCCACCCCGTCCTCACCCTCCGAGTCAGTATAGGTGGCCGTGAGAGATGCCAGAGCAACACTTTGTACAGACATGGTTAGTTGGCTTTGAGTGTCCGCCTTGCTACCAAGCAATATTTTGAGTTGGAACTCACCGGTGTAGCGTCGGCTTGGTCGAAGTGGGGCTTATATAGAGGTATGTGTTGATTAAATAGTTATTAAATGCGCCCTAGTTCTCGCTGGAATGTAGAATATATATCTGAAACAAAGAAAATAGATCTCGTTAGCGAACTGTCGCTACGTCAAGGAATACTAGTCAGAGGAGATAAGCATGAATAAAGTGTTCAGAATGTAAGCAAGTGCAAATAACTTCAAGAGATCTTAATTCACAGGAAGAGATACACATTTCAATGACTTGTACCGTTTTGGTGACGCCTACGAAGGGAACCTACACATGGTGCTAAGTACTTCGAATAGTTTGTCACTTTCATGAATTGTATCCTGCGATAAAAAGAAAGGACTTATAAATACAGGAGTGTTGAAACGGAATCGTAAAATTGCTCGACGCGAAAGATCCATGAACCCCGTTAAGTGTACTCCGAATTGAGCAGACAAAATAGGTTATGTTTAACCGTCTTCATATAAACCTCTCGTAAGCCAAACGATCGACTTACCTAATTTTTCATGTACACGATCTTCGGGCTCACGACCGTGATTTCGTTCTTCGTAACATCGCAAAAAGCCGATGTTTCTTGCGTAGCTGGCCAAATAAATACAACGCGTGAAATCACCAACGATCATCCCAGAAATTTCGCTTTGTTGCGAAATGAAGCATGCGCGCGCATCGGTCGAGCGCGCATTTCAAATGATGCGAGATTGTCACGTTCCACATTCACACCACGAATATCTTTCGCGTAGCGACTGTTTACCGAACTAACTCATGTTTAGTATGTGTATGCTTCACAATTTCGCTTAAAAATTTGTGCCGTGCCTGTTCATATGAATGGTCTCGCATTCTCACCCCAAAAACGTTCCGTAATACCGTAAGCTAAATTGAGCGAAAATGTGAAAAATTAGGAGCTGACGGTATTACGGAACGTTTTTGGTGGTGAGAATGCGAGACCATTCATAGGAACTGGTTCGGCACAATTTTTTAAGCCAAATAGTGAAGCATGCAAGAAAAGTTAGAAAAATAAGCGCAATGAACGCCATCTTTCACGAATTGTGATACCAAAATTCAAAATGAAAATCCTTCTGGGTGCTTTGATTTTTGCCAATAATCGTATTCGGGGATGTAATAATAACCTTATTAGAAGAAGAAAGGAATTACGTGATGCCTCAGACCCATTTTCGTGAGAAGAAAGAGAATTTACTAGGATGTACAGGTTAGTTTTTGTTATTGCGAGGTTATATTACATTATTAAACATTGAAAACTGTTAAATAATTCATGCTTACATGGCATGATAAGAAAATTATATTGTTGAAGTTCTACCTATGGTACATGTAAATATGAATGTAATACATATTTAAAAAATATAGATAGACTCGAGTCCTCTTCTTTACTTTTAACAGTTTTCCATCTTTCCGCCTTGCCTACCTATAAACCATTTCCTCTCAACAATTTTTGATTTACAAGGTACGTACCTTTATTTGGGCAATATTACTATACCGGAATTGTTAGTGATCTCGTTCTTTCATATAGAGAATAAACCCATGTGAGATGAAAATGCGAAAAGTGAGCGCTCTCGTCAAAAATACGTAATAAACGCCCTCAGTCCCGATTCTGGGGTTACTTTCTGTGGAACCGACCATTTGCGTTATGTCTCCTTATACTACTTCATGTTCGGAACCATTTCGTCAGAAGAAAGATGAAACCTCTCGCGGCTTCTCTTCCGTACTACTCTCTAAATTGGAAACGAATAGGAAGACAGCTAACGAGGTGATCCCCGAGACCGTCTCCAACTGCACAGTTCCACTTTTGTATCACTAGTTCCATTTCCCAGCACCAATGGAGTAGAGGGCTCTACTTCATAATTCGTCTGTTCTCCACATTGCTTATAGATGGCATGCCTCACGACCAGCAAGGCCATAATTTAATTTACATATAGATGAAACAATAGTGGCACTATACTTCTATGAGTATAGAACTTAGAGAGGGAAATGGATATCATAAATCGCTACATCCATAACAATAATGGAAACAATAGTGGAACCAGCAACAACCCTCGGAGGTGCATCACTACCCAGAGAACAATCCTGGATCCCATGAACATTCTACGAATGTTCAGGTAGAATATTTTGTTGTTCCCAGAATATGATGCAAATATTTAAGTATTTAAGATATCCAATGAATATTCACGAAGCACAGAATTTTTTAGAATATTTAAAGCATGTTCTGGCTTATGAATGTATATACAGAATATTCACTAGATATTCCAAATATCCAGAGTAAATAAAAAGATTTAAAGAATATTCATAGGTACAATGGTGTTATCTGAGTAGCGACCCCTCCGGTGATTCTCGTAACTACCTCTAGAAACGACAAGCTACTTTCCAAAGTAACTCGGCATTTCTCGAAGATCGCACCACGGAACTAAGATAAGTTCTTCCCCTTATTTCTTCGAATATCAAAGCTAACTGCTGGTATTGCAGATCCGGGGAGATCCCACTTCTCGGGAGGAATGTCCTCCAACATCGCTCGGAGACTAACATCTGCCGTTGGTGCAGATTTGGAGGTTACGTTTAGGCGGGTGGAATGTCCTTTATCTGTTTCAGATACCCCCGCTCTTTCAGCAGATCGTCCAATGCATCCTGGGTGTAGTAGACGATGAAATCCGTTGGGGCTACTCCTTCGAAAACGGCGCACACGGACGGCTTCACGTTGTAGAAGAAGAGGGGCTGCCCTCTGGCGGCGAAGTCCTTAGTCAACGACTCGATGACGGTCGCCGCCGTGAAGTCGGCACCGTAGATGTGCGAGCAGTCGATAACCACGGGGGTAGCCACGCTGCCGGCCCTTCTGCTGTATTTCGTGACCAGGTTCCTCACGTAATCCACCGAGGGGAAGATCAGGCACCGATCGGGCGTCAGCATCAGGTACTCGATTCCCCTTCGGGTCTGTGAAATTAAATAAAATCGATTTTATATGCTGTAATTAACTGTTTAAGGTGAAGTGAAACCCCCTCCAAATCAGTCGATTCGAATACAACACTTATTCTTAAGGGTATTAGACCAAACTGTCCGGAACATTGACACATCACTCCTTTTTGGAAAAAATTTGTTAACTTAACTCAGACCAACAAGCAAAATGGCGACGAGCTCTCATATTTCGATCAATACACAATTATCGAAGGCTCTGATATGAGAATCGAAAGGGTCAGGACAATTTTACGACAATTTAGAACACTCTGGTAATCGATAAACTCGCATTTGCACAGGATAAAGGCAAGAA